CTGGGGGATCTCTGCAATGACCTTCCGGTCTGGCCCTTTCGACAGGAGCTTGCACATCCTGCCCTCGAACAGCACGGCTAGGCCAGCCGCTGCAATACGATTCGTGGAAATTAGCGTAAAGGCCATTTTCGGTGCGTAGAGTGCGTTTTTTAATGTGACCTTTGTGCGTTTCTCACCGAGCGGTAGCTCCAGGTGCACATCTCCACGGCCAATCGCACTCAAGCTCGAACCGTCGGCTGTGCGAACGTCTTGGGGAGGGATGCTCACGAAGTTCGTGAACTTCGCCCTATCAGGGCAAAAATGAGAGGTCGCGCCCGAATCTACGATTGCGCCTCGTTTCTCGACAGGTACGTTCAGCTCGCCTGCCACGCTCGCCAAATCTGACGTAACGAAGGCGTACTGGTCGTCGTGGGCTTCTGGCTGTGTGGCCGAGTTAGCAGCCTGCTTGGGTGCTTTCTCGGCCTTCCTTTTCTGCTGGTTAGGGCCTTGCCCTTCCTTACCACCCCCCGGACGCCAGCAGTCCGTTTTATAGTGGCCCTTCCTGTCGCAATTGAAACAGGTGACCTCCGGATTCGTTTTGGGGGTGCCGGCTGATGCTCTGCCCTTCCCCTTAGCTTCTCTAGCAGATAGGGCGGAGCCTGAAGCTCCCTTCTTGTTGGGACGGCGTTCGGTGAGTAGGCGATGCTCGTACTCTTCTGTGATGATGCTGATTAACTCGTAGGAGGTGAGGGGACTCTTAGTTATCCTAGCTGCTGCGCTGATGGACGATAGGAGGGGCCGGTACGACTCCGGGAGCGAGCCTAGAATAATGGCGTGGAAGTCGTTATCGACGATAGCCGCGCCCATTCCTGCCAGCGACTCGCGGAGCCTTATGAGCTCTGCAAAATGGCCCTTGATGTCGCCTCCTTCCTCACAGCGTGTCTCTTGCAACCGACGCCGTAAGTCTATTTGCACGAGTTCAGTCTTACCCTCGTGAATCTGACAAATCTCATTCCAGATCTCGGATGCCTCCCCAAGCTTCTGGACGCGCAGTAACAGCCGATCGGTGATCGTGCTGAATATCTGCTGCTTTACGAGTGAGTTTTTCTGGTGGTACTCGTCGATCTTCTTATCAAGCTCGTCTATTTCAGTCTGCGTCGGCGTCGAACCGTCAGGCTTCTTTACGGCCTTGGTGTTCGGATCGATGACGAAGGGAATAGGTTCGCAGACGCGTCCATCGGTATATCGCATCAAACCTCGGGCTCCAATAGCCGTTAGCGTTCGTTCTTTGTAAGTAATCCAATTTGAGCCGTCTTCTGCGAGCTTCGGGATATTGAACAGGCTGGAGTTTGTACCGGGGAGCGTAGGTTCCATGATGGAGGCAGGGCTCATAACCTAAAGGCGTTTATGACGAGCAAGAGGGTCACGAGGAGTCTAGAACGACAAAGACAAGATCTCAGTTGTCTCGAACGAAAACTCCTATAACGGTGCGTCTACCTAGAACGACAAAGACAAGCTATAACTAACATTAGACGCGTTGTAAACTCTAGGGACTTGTTGGCACGTACATCTCAGTTGTCTTGAACGAAAACTGAGATGCACCTGCGGTACTGCTGGTAATCTTATAGTAAGTTGGTCAGGTACTGGAACATATGAATGAGAGACTGAAAATAAACTAGGACGCGAGCCGACGTCATACGTCGCTCGTCTTCGTCCGTTTTGGCGCGCGCTCGAACCATTCTCCCCTTATCACTCGGATCCTTCGGACTCTCTCGACTCGGATCTCCCCCTGGCCTCGGATCTCTCGGTCTCGTACTCCAACATCCAGGACGTGGTTTCTGTTGGAGACTCGATGGACATCAGGACCATAGAGATATTGTAGTCGTATGTTTTTTGTTTCAAAGTTTTTGGACTACTTTAAAGATGATACCATACAGCTGCAGCATACATATCACACGCGCATGTTAGATGTAGGTTTGGCACTTAGGTAGCAGCTCGGGTACAAATTATGCTCCAAGTCCCGTCACCTTCCTTAACATTCTTGCAACCCTTTGTCCTCGAATAACTGCATTTCTGATTGCTTTGGTGTAGGAGAACCGCCGATCGGTCGTTTTGACGCGCGATTCGTCGAAAATGATATACACTTTGAGACACGTGCATGTAGCTATCAGTGTATAACGCGTACTGTGCCAAATTTGCAGGCTAGTACAGGTATCAAGGTGAATGTAGTAAATGGTGAACAGGTTCCTTCATCTGGATTGCAACTAGGCTCGTGACCAGCCTGGCTTATTACCACTAGCAGGAACCTGCAATGGATGCCTTTCACGTAACTAATCTATGACGCATTTACCCTCAACCCATTTCTGTCCTTGTCCTGCCACCTCTCTCAATCTCAAACCATTCATCGTTCTTGATTCACAAATTCAATCTTTCGTGCAGGAGGTACATGCAGCTATCACGTCAGCTCAGCCTTTGTTACTTAACCTTATACTTGAATTGTTTACCTCTTCAAGCGGATACAAACATCAACCGGCCGGTACTTTGTGCCGGATACTTTTTCTTAATGGCTTTGATGACTACCATGTAGTCTTCCATTCGCAGATCCACGATATTTTCATTGTCCAGAAGTCTTAGTCCATGGTTGGAAGTACATGGATCACTCGCCACGGCCTAGTTCCATTTCAGATTTCGGGATCTCGAGCTTTCGCAGTTTGATAACGACAACTTTCGAGATAGACCACCATCTAGTAGGGTTGTGACATATTCCAGTGGTCCAGTGCAGACTAAAAATGCATCCATGACTAGTCAACAGCGCGTATGAGGGGAGGAGTCATTGTGCCATCGAGGCTTCATTGTTCAAGCGTACAACGAGACTGCAAAACTCGCAAGTACTTTAGTCATTCTATTTATTCAAGTATTTCCCCTATTCCAAGATCTCCATTGCTCGAGCGGCAGTCAAATTTGTTCGGAACCAAGACATTGGTCAAATCAACATCAAACTAGTAGTAACTTTTATGTCGTGCCATCAGCCATCATGTGCACCGATGCTGATTGAAGTAGAAATACTACTCACCGTAGTTGGAACGTTTGCGTGTCATGCAGTCATCCGTCTTGAAGACACATAAAGACGGGCTACCACGCCGGTGAGTCGTGTGGTTAAATTCAAGACGCAAGATACTTATACTCACGTATACGATGCCGCTCCTTAACATACATTTCTGCCCAGGGCAGCAATTTTCTGTCGCGCACAATTTAGGACACTTCCCGCTGCTATCAATGTTAAGGGGAGTGGCAGACACTAATGCCATCAAAGCAAAAGCAACGGCGACGACAGAGGGGAGATGCATTGTTTGTGAGGATGTGATATGGGGTCAAATCGATCTGAATGAGACGGTAAGTAGACGGCTTTTTATACTATGCGCTGAATGTTATTCTTCGTGGTCCGGGTGACGCAGGAAGAACATATCCATTTGAAGTCCCTTATCGAACATATAACTAGTGACACGCGTTCAGGGCCTTAAATTCGGATATCTCTGTCCGTCAGTGTGAAGGTTGACGCCCTCGTGTTTCACGACACATTTCATCCCGTGATCCTTATGGTTCATATCTTGCAGTGTACGCACGTGAATTATTTTTTTGGAAGAGCGATATGCTTCTAGATCTGCGGTACTGCACTGACTAGGTCCAGTTCTACCGGTCTGAGCGGAAAATGAACTCAGCCGTATGATACTTACTAAAACAGCAAGATTGTTAAGGATGAATGATGGTGCTGCGATGGTGTCTGAGCCGGGAGAATCATCATCGGATTTCGCTATCGACACATGTCAGATATGGGCACTTCCCGACCATCTTGACTCACTTTGGCTGTTACGAAAATTTCGTCGATCATCATGGGATGGATATTATTCAGGTTTGGTCAGGCCGGTAATAGAGGTACTGGTTGTGACGGCCTTAAGATTGTCCATCCAATGATGATCAATGAAATAGTCACCAATTTTCGTAACAGCCAAAGTGAGTCAAGATTGTTCGGAAGAGGTTAGCATAGAATCGAGTCTACGCATGAGTGAGGCACACCTAGGCGTGTGCTACCTTGCTCTGACCCATGACGATGGCATGATAGTTTAGTCTCAGTTATTCAGCAGTAGCCTGAGATCTACCTGTTCACTCCATTTTACTTTATTATTCCTTGGCACCCACCCGCTGCCTCCTCTCTCAGGGTACGACTAGACTACTCAATTGCTTCTCCTGCGGTGCACATGCGCCTGAATGAGAAGCCCACGCCCAAACATCCTTTTCCTCATCATTTAGACCCTGTTAAATCGCTGTATCTAAGTCATTGTCCAAATCATTTCGTTCTCGCTCACCAGCCACCACGCTACGAAAGCATAGACCGGCAGAATGCCAAAATACAGGGGATCACAGTGAAAGATGTTCTATGTGATGCCCTTCTTCATCCTATAGTACTAGTGACCCTTTTCGAGCGACTCGAAGCAACTGCACTTGTGATGTAGAAAAAATCATTGTGCAGCCTGCTACAATCGAGAATTGCTTGATCGGATGATCAAGGATCCATCTACACCTGCCGGTTACATAAACCGATACTGCGGTGTCGTGGATGGTTCGACTCCATGCTGCGAATACTTATGGAGTAACCAAGATCGAACTCGAAGGCATTTCTTCCATGTTCAGATAGAACCGAAATGTCGTGTTCTTGTGCTACGTGTCATGACGAGGTCCGAGGACCCCAGTCTTCACGATGATGGTCGTGCCATCAAGAAAAGAACTAAGGAACGCTGACACGCCGTTCAATCAGGTGCTCCTTATTCCCACAAGGACTTTGATAGAAATGAGGATATGCTTGCGATCGAGGATTGCAGGCAGAATCTCTAGGGAGGGACGTGTCCCGTAAATTTCAACAGTAAGTCATCAAGACAACGAGACAATCTATCTGCAGGGAATACCGTCAAGACATGTTTGCACTACCGGCGGCGTCATTCACCTATTACCATTGGGATGTAAATTCACCCAAGACGGTTCTCGGATACTAGCACCGCATATGCAAATGATAGGCAGGTGCAGTAACTAGACATGGCTGTAGATGCGACATCGAGGTGGGCAAATACGGTGTATGTTGAAGTAATGCCCAGAACTTCGCTGGGGTGCTGGCCTCAAGAGGTCTTGTACTTTTGACTGAGGGCCCATCATTCAGCTGCAAAATTTGTAGTATATTACTCACCACCTTTGCGATCAATAATATTCAAAACAACTATAATTGTCGTGTCTGGGAGGACACTGCGAAGCATTTCAATGCCTTCTTCGACTACATGCGGGATTTGTGAGCGTCCTGTTGGGAGAGAGGAGATATCTGAGAGGGCATACAGCTACTAGTGAGGCTTCGTCTGAGTTGAACGCCTCAATACTTGCTTGTAGGACACCTACCAGCATCATCTTCTCGGTCGCAAGGCTCTGCTTCACACAAGTGGCCATTCGCAAAATATGGCATGACGTTTGAGAACTGGGCCAGCTCAGGGCTCGAAATATGTGTCATGGGTAGAGTGGTCGTTGTAGACCCGTGATTTCATCGAACTGAACTGCGATTGCGGTATCTCTGAGTGGCTACTAGGGAATGATGTGAGTACGTGAGTGTGCACACATCAGGAGTACAGGAACTGGGTTCAATATCCGTAGAAGACGATAGACAAGCTGAGTGCGAAAAGATTGTTCGAAAACAGCTTTCTGTCAAGTACATTTTCCAGAGCTAGACAACGCAGAGGCAGCACTAGTGCTAGTGAGGGATCCCGGATACACCTGCAGTAGGGATCTTTGTAGATGTGAGAAGGGATGCCGAAGGTGAAAGAGGAATGAACGAATCTACTTTTCGATATTGAATCAAGACAGTTTTCAAGCTTGATATTTTCATTGCAAACAGCTTGCTGGATGCTTTCCGCAAGCCTAAAGTACTGGCAGGTTCAGTATCGGGTTACTCACAACTGATTTGCGCCAGTACCACGGTCAGCAAGATAAGTTGTGTATGGTCCAGGAACTGCAGAATAAGTGACTCAGCGGCACTCATAGTCGAGGTAGTCGCCTGTGACAAGCCCAAGGGGAGTATTTTGCAGGAACAAGAAACTGAACTTGCTGAGCTGGCAAATGGTAACGAGAGTTCCGGTGGTATTCAGCCCCGGTCCAAGAAGACGTCAGGTATGGCTCGAGAGGCAGACAACCAAACAGTACATCTGTGAGGAGGAAGGAGAACAGATACACACAGCTGTAAAGAAGATGCTTGTATGTCTTCAGCGTAGCCCTGACCCGATGTTCGCGTGAGTCGATTTCTAAGGAAGATCTTGCCAAATGCTCGTCTCCTTCCATCCAATCGTCATGTTGTGTTCGCCTTCAGGTAAACTAGGGCCAGGCCTGGGTCCCTGGAATATAACTCGGAGGTTCTCAGCAGCCTACTAGAGACAAGCTACAATATACTCACACCACTAGATACCCAGTACTACCCAGTACGTGGTGAGACTACAGATCAATCAATACAAACACTTCAAAGACTTGGTTGACAAGAAAACTTACAGCACAAGGACATAATTGTCCAACTTGGGGTTGTTCGTCGTCAGTAACAAAAGCGCTAAGTTCAGCAATAAGGTGGCTATATACCCGACATTACTATGAACCTGTATCGAAATATTGTTAGCTTCCGACGACAAACGACACAGCCCTTGCAACGCACGGTAAAGACATTACTGATCCCATTGTTTTCCATAGATTCTTCTTACTCGTAAACTTCAGGAGGAATCTCGCTGCTTTCATACTTTTCTCTCAACTGGCGTGCATTCGGAAACGCACAGGTAAGCGCCATACAGTCATATCGTGCAGCTCAGCATACCACTGTGACAGCAAGTACCGTCAGAACGTGCCACAGTCAGTAATAGAGCCGACGGTAGTGAATATGGCTGTCATTATGGCGGAACTGATGACATTCGCGATCAGGATCACACTAGAAACTGACTTGGTGCCACTACCCCAGGGAAATATACATTGACCGGAAGCAATGGTTGCAAGGCACGATGAGCCGGGGCCTGCGAAGAGATCATATCCTGCTGCTGTGGCAAGCCCCTGGAACAGAGTTTGTGTATAGCCCAGAGGATAAACACCCTGACTGTGTGAAACATAGATAAGAAAAGTGGGCCCGATAATATTCAGCCGACTCACATTGTCACCATTATAGTTTAGCTTTGACAAGGATCGATACATATGGACCGGAACTCATGACAGTAGCTTCATAACTCCCTTCTGCCCACGAGCGGTTCATCCTTGCTGATGGATCTTGTTCGCGTCCTCCATCTAGTCTAAGGGTCCCTGCTTCCAAATCCTTAGAGGGTAGGACCGCGACAAGTTACAAGACGCACCATAGACACGCAGATACTTTATACTAGTCTACAGCGAGCCGTGAGGTGAGCGGCCAAGGGACACAAAACTTGAGCTTGAAAGTTCATTGGAGAGGTGTGATACTCGCTTGATGTCTCGGTAGGGCCTGAAATTGTGAAGACAAATATCGGACGCATGTAGCCAGTGCAGTCGGTTATTACCGGCTGAGAGCATATTTTGCCTCGTGTCTTGGGCGTCTATGGAAACGAGGATGGTTGGCGCTGTGAAGTAACCTAAAAACGCACAATACGCACCTCTGTAACTTAGAGAAAGACGCCCACAATTCTCGGCCGTGCTCAACACCATCAACCTGCAGTAAAATGTCACAGCTCATTACAAGCACCACACCCATTCGAACTTTTGAAGGTCATGAGGAATTCGTAGAGGCAGTTGCAGTGTTCCCCGATAAACGACGAATGATTACTGGCTCACACGACAAGACACTTCGTCTTTGGGACTTGGAGACAGGTGTTGTGTTGAAGAAGATGGAGCATAGCGATACGGTGGGGGCATTGACGATATCGCGAGGATGGTAAAATAATAGTAAGCGGTGATTATGATGGAGAGGTCATCGCCTGGTACGGTGAAACTGGCGAATCCATCACCCAACCCATCAAGGCTCACTCCAAAGTCATCACCTCAGTGGATTTTTCTCCAGAAGGTACGGTGCTGGTCACTAGTTCATTTGATGCCACAATCAAGTTTTGGTGTACCAAAACGTGGCAGATGAAAGGAGAACCAATCGAGCGTGGTTCTGCCATCAACTGCGTTCGATATTCGCCTTCTGGTGAACTTCTTGCCATCGCAACAACCAGGAATATCCATATTTATAATCCAGGCACAAGGGAACGCGTCGCATCTTTAACAGGTGGGGCTGATGTATGGAACCTGTCAATCACATGGACGCCTGACGGCACACGCCTTCTTTCGGGAGGCAGTAAATCCATATCGGAGTGGGACACATCAACCTGGCAGCAGGTCGGTCGTCCCTGGCAAGGCCACACTGATTATATCTACACTATTGCCATTCATCCCACTGGCACCCTCGTTGCTTCTGCATCTAAAGACGAGCATGTCCGTCTCTGGCGGGTCTCAGATCAACGAACCACTGCCATCTTCCAGCATTCATCTGTAGCGGCATGTGTCACGTTCTCTGTGGACGGCAAGCACATCCTCAGCGGAGGTAAAGATAACAAGATCTCAGAGTGGACAGTACCAAAGGACGTTCATTCAAAGGCGAGTTTCCACTTCTGACTCTCATTACGCAACTCGAGCATCCTTCGTACAGATCCCTGATATCACAACAGCCCGCGATGCATGTCTGGCTGGGGATTTGTCTACCGCTGAAGAGCTCCTCACTCAAGAGATTCACACCAATGTCGACGACTTTGCTTCATATGCCAATCGTTCCTTTGTTATGGCCCGGAAGCACAACTTGGACAACGCCCTTGAGGATGCAATCAAGGTGAGATGGACCCATCCATCATTGTCATCTTACGGAAGGCTAACATTCATCCGTGACATAGTCAACCAACATTAAACCATCGTTAATTGGGTTTATCTCGAAAGGCATTGCCCTCTGCGGAAAAGGTCGCGTCCGAGAAGCAAGGGTAGCATTCGACGTTGCATCTATGTTCACGAACCAAGATTCAGAAACCAACCAATTTCTTCTCTTGATCAAGGTACATTTAATCCGTCTCCCATACTATCTGCTTCACCCGGTATTCCAGGCCATAGCACTCTTCAACGCAGATCAACACGAGGAAGCAATGTTGTCTATCAAAGAGCTGGCTACCGCTTGTCCAAATGTCGAGCCTCTCGCGCGTCGTGTCGTAGAAGTCAGTATCATGGGCTACGCTTGATTCTCAAGGCCTCAATGCTGACCTTCGTCGCTCGCACATTAGACATATTTGCGTGTTCATCTCGGAATCACAGCCTTGCATGGTGCGCGTTACGACGAGGCCGCGGATCATTTCACTGCTGCCGTCAACTCTACTGCATTCTCGTCAAAAGACATTCATTTGACATATGAGGACTTGACCGTGGTGCGTCGACATGATGCATACATAATGCTTTTCATAACCTAGTACCTTGTGCAGCTCTTCGGCTGGGATCTCAAGTCCTTGTTGCTTACGACACACCAGAAACGGTGCCAGGCTTTCCTTTCAGCAGGTAAACCCGATCAAGCCCTCGAAGCACACAAATACATGATAGACGCCATCGACGAGACTGCGAAGGCCAGCTGCCTCGATTGGTCCATTGGCGAGTTTTAGTAATGTCACCTGAGGCAATCATACTCACCTGCATTTGATTCAGAATTTAAGCAACAATGTAGCGTGCTCTGTGCTGCCAACGGAAATGCGGCCCTCGCTGCCAGCGAATATGACAGGGCTATTGACCTATACTCGGCGGTAATCAACTCAAACTCGGCATCTGATGTTGTTTTTGCAAATCGTAGCAAGGCACAGTTGGGCAAAATGCTATGGATGGAAGCGCTTCTCGATGCGCAGAAGGTGCGATGGGAGCTATTGTCCACAACCAGCGCTCATTGTAGCGATACATAGGTCATCGAACTCAACTCTTTGTCTTATCTTGGATACAATTTGAAGCACGCAGCGCTTCATGGCGCGGAGCGCTATGATGAAGCGATGGAAACCTTCCAAACCATGCTCTCGACATTGGAAAATGCACCTGATGTTCAGACACGAAGTAAGGCTCTGATAACGCATTCGTCGACATGTTTAACTCTTTCTCCAGACCTGCGCCAGCAGTATCTCAGACCTTCTGAAGTAGAACACGCCATTCGACAGGTCATTGATGCCCGACTCGACAACGCTCCGCTGCGTGTCCTCGACACTAGCACCGGTCTCTTATGCGATCGAGAGGTGCAGATAGGCACCTTCAAAATGAGCGCGCAGTATAAGGAGCTTGTGTCATCAACAATCACGCATGCAGACTTGCACATCGAGCACATCGAAGAAGTGGTGAAGAGATATCTGCAATATGTGATGCTATCACACAGGTGGGAAGGGAAGGAGCCGCTGCTGCAGGATATCCAGGGCAAGGGCGTGTACGACTCCAAGTTGGATTCGGTTGGCGGCATTACGAAGCTGCGGTTGTTCTGCAAAACTGCTCACGATGCGGGGTATAACTGGGCATGGAGCGATACATGCTGCATCGACAAGAGCAACAACGTCGAAGTCCAAGAATCGGTCAACTCCATGTTCGTATGGTATCATCATTCTGCGCTCACGATCGTCTACCTGTCTGATGTTCCGCCTTCATCAAAGTCTGGCGGACTGGCAAAGAGCGCTTGGAACACGCGCGCATGGACGTTTCAGGAATTCATCGCTCCCAAAGTCATTCTCTTTTATCAGAACAATTGGACTCTTTATCGCAATGATCGTACTCCCAACCACAAGGATTCCATCGCAATCATGCAGGAGATGAAGGACGCGACGGGCATAGACCGACCAGCCGTTGTGGCCTTCCGTCCCAGTATGCATAATGCGCGAGAAAAACTTCATTGGGCGTCAACCCGCGTTACCACGCGCCAGGAAGACATCGCATACTCGTTGTTTGGCGTCTTTGGCGTCTGCCTGCCCGTAGATTATAGTGAGGAGCAGGACAAGGCTCTCGGGCGGCTCCTGCAGGAGATCGTGGCTCGGTCGGGCGACATCAGTAGCCTCGATTGGGTCGGAACGTCGTCAGAGTTCAACAGCTGTCTACCAGCCTCCATCACTTCATACGAAGCTCCACCATTCCGGCTACCACCCCTAACCAAAGATGAATTTCAGTTATCGATTTCTTCGCTGCGAAATACGGCGGCTGTTGATTTCGCTTCAAACCTTTATACTCGGCTTCAGAACACGAGCACCCCTTGCTTCGCAGCACAAAGACTGCACTTGCCTTGTATTGCATTTAGTGTTACGGAAGTCAGACGCTGGGTGGGTAGTCCAACCCCCGAAAGTCATCTCATGTATAGGGTGAAAGCGGACAGACTTTACTACCTGCTTATCACCACCGCAGAAACCCTGGTTAAATTTTGGCCGGCAAGGCCCACTGAGCAGCAATTTCTCCTCGTCCGTCCCTGGGATCGGTCTCTCCTGGAGCTACCTGACTTCGCAGAACCATCTGACTATGAAAATGATGCGGAAAGCGAGGAGGATTATGGGATGCCGCCTTCTTCTCCGTCAGATGATTGGTCTGGTAGTTCTCCTGTAAAACAAGGGATGTCTGACCTAGAATCACGAGCATTGCGGCTGCTTGTTCACCTTGCGCAGCCTTTCAGCGCATTTTTGCTGGTGCAACAGCGCAGTGGAGAATACAAGAGGA